TTTTTTTCGTAACATGTAAAAAAAGTTTTTAATAAGCTTTCTACTGCTATATTATTATGTCTGTTGTTTAGAGTTTTGCTCAATAGATACTTAAATGAAGAAGCAGAGTAGAATTTTACCTGGTTGGTTGGCTGTTTGAATGGGATACCATAAAACTATTTCTGTATTTTACTTTGTTGTAGTCTTATCAAGAGGATAAACTTTATGTTTAGTCGTTGCAAATTGTAAACTGCAGAGATAAAACTATAAGGGAGGAGGACTTTAGCTGTTGTTTAGTTGTTGTTTTTTTAAGTATTAAATTCCACAATCTAAATAAGTTAGGGGGTGGTAGTGGTTGAACTGGGTGCAGTGGGGTGGAAAACATGCATAAAGCTAATAATGTATTTAAGGGTAATCGCTTTATAATGCAAAGTTTAAATGCAAATTGTATACAATTTCAAAATCTAGAAAAACTCATATCGAGTCTACTTAGAAAGACAATAAGCTGCAATTGAATTATTGTAAAGCATTTTTGTTTAAAATCAATCAAATCCATCCTTTTATTATAAAAATAGGACATCATTAAAATAGAAATGATAAATTTTTAACTTACAATACTTAAGCTTCAAAAAAGCTTCATAGTTTTCAAAATTTTAAAATTAATAAAATGTTCAACTATTTTTTTAATATGAGTTCATTAAAAGCTTTTTTGTAACTTTTCCTACTTGCTACTTCATATTTTAAATAAAACATGCATATATAAGTTAAATAATATCATTAAATTTGTAACTTTATATATTTTTTATTCATACAATTTGTGTTCATCTTCATTTTATTCCAGTCATCCGTTGTTAATTTATCCATTGTTCTCTTGTATTCGTATAATTTTGAATTACAATGTTTAAGTAAGTGTGTACGCTACACTTGATTAACTAGACATTTAAACATTAAGAACCATTTGGAGAAATAACAAGCTGCATCATGATTAATTGATTATAGCTTAAAGCATGACTTATTGATGATTTAAGCTATGATTTTTTAAAAAGAAAGCTTTAATTGAGATTTTGATTAATTAAAAGTTTTTATGAAAAAAGCTATAAAACTCAACTCAAAAAAGTTCTAATCACAAGTTTTTACGATAACTTTCGGAATAATACTTATATAGGAAAAAGTTCGTTATAGAAAAGCTTTTTGAAAATTAACTTTTTTAAGTAAGAGCTTTGGAAAAAAATGATTTCTTTAGAAAGGCTTTAAGTAAAAAGCTTTTAATATACTTTTTTAGAAACACGAAAAAAGCCTAGGAAAAAGCTTTTTCTGGAAAATGTTTTTCAAAAAAGCTTTTACATAGAAAAGCTTTTGCAAAAAACCTTTTTCATAGCTTTACAAAAAAGAATTTCCATAGAAATAGTTTTCTTATTCATAGAGAAACTTTATCAAAAAAGCTTTTTTATATAAAAGCTTTTGCAAAAAATCTTTCCATAAAAAGCTTTTTCATACATGTTTTTCATTGAAAAACATTTACAAAAAAGCAGTTCCAGAAGAAAATTTTTTCTTTTTCAAAGAAAAACTCTAGCAAAAAAGCTTTTTTATATAAAAGCTTTTGCAAACAAAACTATTTATGGATAAATTTTGCGAAAAAAAATATTAATACAAAATTTTCTATAAAAAAACTTTCCGGAAGTAGCTTTTTAAAGAAAAGCTTTTTAGTAGAGACGATGTTACAGAAAGGCTTTTCGAAAAAATACATTTTATAGAAATGTTTTTGAGAAAAAATTCTTTTAACAGACACTACAAAAAACTATTTATAGAAAAGCTTTAGCAATAAACAATCTTTTAAGAATGAGCTTTGTATAGAAAAGCTCTCTGAAAAATCTTTCTTATAGATAAGCTTTTTCAAAGAATTAATTTTATGAACCGTTTTTGTAAAAACGGCTTTTAACAGAAAATCTTTCGCAAACAAACTCTATAGAAAAGCTTTTGCAAAGAACCTTTATTTCTAGAAAAAATTTGGTAAAAAAGCGATATTTTTACAGACAAGCTTTTGCAAAAAAAAAAGCTTTTAATAAAAATCTCCTATAAATATATTTTATTCTTATAGAACAGCTTTTCGAAAAAATTTATTTTTTTAGAAACGTTTTTGTGAAAAAGTTTTTAATAGAAAATCTTTTGGAAAAAATTATAGAAAAGTTTTAGCAAAAAAGCTTTATTTGCAGAATAGCTTTGGCAAAAGGGCGTTTTTATAGAAAATTTTTTGCAAAACAGCATTTTTAAGACAAGCTGTTACGAAAAAAGCTTTTAAGAGAAAATTTTAGAAAATCTTTAGCTTTTATGGAAAAGCTTCTTTCTTAATCCTTTAATAAAAAATATTCTATATATTAGAAAAAAATACTTTTAAAAAATGTATAGACAAAATTTTTATAAAAAAAGCTTTTAATGTCATAAAGTTTTTTTATAGGGTAAATTAATATAACATGACTTCGAGCTAAAAAAATTAAAGTTTCTCTGCAATTATATTTTACTACAGGCTTTAAAACACAATTATCATTAACTATATATTTTTTTGTTCATTATTATAAACAAAATTGACAAGCCTTTGTTTGTGGATGCAATTTATCTCGTGTTTTTTACAATAAAACGAAAAAAAACTTCATTGTTGACATAAGTGTAAAACAAGGATTTTCATAATAAATTTGAAGTATGTATTAAGTGTACAAATACATAAAGAGAAGAAGGGACAGGGGGATTTCCTCCCCACTTAACTCCATAAAAACTACTATACTCTGGACTTAATTATGTTTTTTTTTTTTGTATTTTAAGCTGGAGTTGTAAATTTGTATTGTTGCAAATTGTCTATTTAAACAAAAACGACGCATATGAGTAAATAACATAAGAATTGAGTTACAGTTTTATATTTATTGTTTGAGCTTTTATTCTCCCAGTTATATTTTATATAATAATAAAAAAAAGTTGGTAAAATAATATGTAATAAAATGAAAAAATAAAATACAGACTCTGGCAGAGTTTTATTATTAAGTGACAGTTACACAATTGCAACAATGTGTTTATTGTTCTCACAATGGAGTGTGTGTGTGTGTCAGCAACCCAACAGTTTTACAAGGAGTCAAAAGCTTATTTTGTACTTGATCTCATATATGAAAAAAGCTCCTACAAAAACTTTTTGCTAGCTATTTTTTATAAAAAAGCTTTATATAGAATTGTTTCGTAAAAGCTTTATAAAAAGCTTTTTGATTACAGATTTATAAAATGCTTATTTTTGGAAAAAGTTTTATAAATAGCTTTTTGGGGAAAACTTTATATAGAGTTGTTTGGTAAAAACGTTTTGATAACAGATTTATAAAAAGTTTATTTTTGGAAAAAGTTTTATAAATAGCTTTTTGGGGGAAACATTATAATAAGGTTTTTGGCTAAAAACTTTAAAAAAGCTTTTTGGTAAAAGTTTTATACATAAGAAGCTTTTTGATAACAGATTTATAAAAAGTTTATTTTTGGAAAAAGTTTTATAAATAGCTTTTATGGGAAGTTTTTGGCTAAAAACTTTAAAAAAGTTTTTTGGTAAAGTCTTTATAAAAATCTTTTTGATATAAATTTTTTTAAAAGGCTTGCTTAATGGTTTTTATAAAAAAGCTTTTTGGTAAAAGTTTTATATAAAAAGCTTTTTGTTAAAAAATTTTACAAAAAAATAAAGCTTTTTATAGAAAAGCTTTTTTTCGCAATAGCTTAATATAATTGTTTAATAAAAGCTTTATAAAAAGTTTTTTGATAACAGATTTATAAAAAGCTTATTTTTGGAAAAAGTTTTATAAATAACTTTTTGGGGAAAGCTTTATAATAAAGTTTTTGGCTAAAAACTTTAAAAAAGCTTTTTGGTAAAAGTTTTATATAAAAAGCTTTTTGATAACAGATTTATAAAAAGCTTATTTGGGGAAAAAGTTTTATAAATAGCTTTTAAGGGAATTTTTTGTCTAAAAACTTTAAAAAAGCTTTTTGGTAGTCTTTATAAAAAGCTTTTTGATATAATTTTTAAAAAGCTTCTTGCTTAATGATTTTTATAAAAAAAAGCTTTTTGGTAAAAGTTTTATATAAAAAGCTTTTTGATAACAGATTTATAAAAAGCTTATTTTTGGAAAAAGTTTTATAAATAGCTTTTAGGTGAAAGCTTTATAATAAAGTTTTTGTTTTTGGCTAAAAACTTTAAAAAAGCTTTTTGGTAAAGTTTTTTGTAAACAGCTTTTTGATATAAATTTAAAAAAAGCTTCTTGCTTAATGATTTTTATAAAAAAGCTTTTTGGTAAAAGCTATTGTAAAAAGCTTTTACAAAAAAGTTTTTCTATAAAAAGCTTTACTTTTTGTAAAGTTTTTAACAAAAAGCTTTTTACAATAGCTTAAAATTAAAATGAGTTGAACATAATCAACACCCTAAACTATGGGGAAATTTATTGCTTTGAGCGTTAGTGTGGGCTTATTATTAAATGGACGACTCCTCTACTTGGCACACAATGAAATATGAATTTCCCATTTTTATTTCTGTAATATTGTAATATAAAATTTATACAATTATGACTTTTTTCCTGGCATTTAAATTACATGTAAATGTAATAAATTATTGTCAGTTTATGTATATTTACTTTGGCACTTCAATAAAAGAAGCGTGCTAGCTGCTGCATCAATAATATTTAAAAGGCAGAAAGCGAACCCGAGTAGGAGGTGGAACGCACAAAGTACTTACAACAACGCCCCTTAACTATATAAAGTAATAAATGAATGACTGAATGCTATTCATTGAAATTGTGGTTTTTATGTTTAATCAAGTGTAATTTTATTTAAATTATGCAATAAACATAATTTAAAATGTGTTTTTAACAAAAAAACTTCCTCCCTCTATTGTTAGTTTAAACATAAAACTATATTTAAGAAATTTGCAAACTCTGTATTTAAAGCTTTTATCCATTTCAATTTAACCCACACTAATTTTTTCTTTAACTATTTCCTATTCCTTACAGAAAATGCGTCAATTCCAAAAAGTATTGGAAGATTTAAGTTCTCGCGTAGCCTCAGCTGAAGCTACCACAAATTCCTGGGTTGTACCACCCACTAGTTCGGAAGCCAGTGAACAATTACAGCATCTACAACGTCTCAGAGATAAAATGACCACTGCCGGTGCATTGTTAGATGATTGTAATGAACAGCAGTCATTCTTCACCGCCAATCAGGTGTTGGTGCCAGCTAATTGTCTATCCAAATTGGAAGATTTGAATACTAGGTAGGAGGATGTTTTTTATTATTACAAATTAAATTTTATTTAAAACAATTTTTTCTATTTTTTTTACAATTAGAATGAAACTCTTACAAATTGCTATGGATGAAAGACAAAAAGTTTTGTTAAATGCTGGCGGCAATCAATCGTTGGAGAATGGTGAAGATGGTCGTTGTACTTCGAATAGTGGCACAATTGGCCCAATACCAAATCTAGGACAAAGTGTTAAACCACCATGGGAAAGAGCTACAACAGCAGCTAATGTGCCTTATTATATAGAGTAAGTCAAAACAAACTGGCTACGAAAAACCTAATTTAAGAAAGCTTTTCGAAAAGATTTCCTAGAAAGCTTTATAAAGTTTTTATGGAAAACAACCTATAACCTATAACAAAGTTTTTGTAGAAAAGTTTTTTTTGGAGCACTTTTTATAGTAAAGCTTTAAAATTGTTTTTTAAAGAAAAGCTTTAAAATGCTTTTTATAGAAATGCATTAAAAAGCTTTTAAAGAAAAGATTTCAAAAAGCTTGTTATAGAACAAACATAAAAAGCTTTAACATACTTTTTATAGAAAAGCTCTAAACAGCTCTTTATAAGAAAGCTTTAGAAATCATTTGTAAAAACAAATTTAAAAATGCTTTAAAAAGCTTTTTTAGAAAAGCTTTAAGAAACATTTAATGGAAACGCTAAAGAGCTTTTAAACACTTTTTATTAAAAAAGCACAAACACTCTTTTTCCAAAAATCTTAAATAATAGAAAAGCTTTAAAAATGATTATTATGGAAAAGTTTCAAAATTGGATTTTATAGAATCTTTTCAAAAGCTTTTATATTAAAAAATGTTTTATAGAAAAGCTATAAAACTTTTGTTTTTGAAAAGCTATAACATTATTTTCATAGGAAAACTTTTTATATAAAAGCTTAAAATGGTTTTTTGTAGAAAAGCATTAAAAAGTTCTTTATATAAAAGCTTTAAACAAATTTTTTATATAAAAGCTTTAAAAAGCTTTTTATAGAAAAGCTTTAAACACTTTTTTATGGAAAAACTTTTAAAAACTTTTTATAGAAAAGGTAAAAACAAATTATAAAATGCTTTAAAATGCTTTTTGGAGACAGAGCATAAAAAAGCTGTTTGTTATAGAATATTTAATAAATCGTGCTTTTGAAAAATCTTTATAAAAATCATAAAAAAAAAATATAGAAAAGCTTTAGAATAACTTTTATAGAAAAACATAAAAAAACTTTTTATAGAAAACCATTAAACAGGAGTTCTATAAAAAAAAAAAAAAAAAACTTTTAAAAATCTTTAGAAAATCAGCTCACTCTAACTTAAATCTCCCCTTTCTTCCAGCCATGAACGTGAAACCACCCACTGGGATCATCCCGATATGATCGAACTAATGAAGAGCTTAGCCGATCTTAACGAAATACGCTTTTCAGCCTATCGTACTGCCATGAAATTGAGATCTGTACAAAAATCTTTAGGTTTAGATCGTATCCCTATGTCGGCAGCTATAGAATCTTTCGATAATCATGGTTTAAGGGCACAAAATGATAAACTAATTGATATACCCGATATGACCACCGTTTTACATTCACTCTATGTGACTTTGGATAAAATCGATTTGACAAAATCCTTAGATCTAGCGATTAATTGGATATTGAATGTATATGATTCACAGCGCACGGGACAGATAAGGGTGTTGAGTTTTAAGGTGTGTTCTAAATGTTTAAAATTGTTACAAGATTATTACAAATTTCTTGTAATTTTTTAGGTGGGTTTGGTTTTATTATGTCGCGGCCATTTAGAGGAAAAATATCGTTATTTATTCCGTTTGGTAGCGGATCCAGAACGTAAAGTTGATCAAAGAAAATTGGGCTTGTTATTACATGATTGTATACAGGTAAGTTTTGATTTATTTTGTATTTGATATTTATCTGAAATATATTTAATTGTTTTTTTTTCGATTTCAAGGTTCCCCGTCAATTGGGTGAGGTGGCAGCTTTTGGTGGATCTAATATTGAACCTTCTGTTCGTTCCTGCTTAGAGAGAGCTGGTATTTCTCAAGAAGGTAATTTGAAAATAAACGAGCAAATGGGACTATTATATAATCCTTAATATAAACTATAGTCGAATATATAGACTAGACCAAACTATAGACTAGTCCTGACTATAGACTATTCTATAAACTAGACTACAGTACTTATTAGACAAGTCTTGACTAGAGTATATAGTTGAAACTACAGACTCGACTATAGTCCAGACTATAGAGTGAACTATATAATAGACTTCATTATAGACTAGATTTAGACTAAACTATAGACTAGACTAGAGTAGACTAGAGTAGACTAGACTATAGACTAGACTAGACTATAGACTAGACTATATACTAGACTATAGACTAGACTATAGACTAGACTATAGACTAGACTATAGACTAGACTATAGACTAGACTATATACTAGACTATAGACCAGACTATAGACTAGTCTATAGACTAGACTATGGACTAGAATATAGACTAGACTATAGACTAGACTATAGACTAGACTATAGACTAGACTATAGACTAGACTATAGACTAGACTATAGACTAGACTATAGGCTAGACTATAGACTAGACTTTATACTAGACTATAGACCAGACTATAGACTAGTCTATAGACTAGACTATAGACTAGACTATAGACTAGACTATAGACTAGACTATAGACTAGACTAGACTATAGACTAGACTATAGACTAGACTAAACTATAGACTAGACTATAGACTAGACTATAGACTAGACTATAGACTAGACTATAGACTAGACTATAGACTAGACTATAGGACTAGACTAGACTATAGACTAGACTATAGACTAGACTAGACTATAGACTAGACTATAGACTAGACTATAGACTAGACTATAGACTAGACTATAGACTAGACTATAGACTAGACTATAGACTAGACTATAGACTAGACTATAGACTAGACTATAGACTAGACTATAGACTAGACTAGACTATAGACTAGACTATAGACTAGACTATAGACTAGACTAGACTATAGACTAGACTATAGACTAGACTATAGACTAGACTATAGACTAGACTATAGACTAGACTATAGACTAGACTATAGACTAGACTAGACTAGACTATAGACTAGACTATAGACCAGACTAGACTATAGACTAGACTATAGACTAGACTAGACTATAGACTAGACTATAGACTATAGACTAGACTATAGACTAGACTATAGACTAGACTATAGACTAGACTATAGACTAGACTATAGACTAGACTATAGACTAGACTATAGACTAGACTATAGACTAGACTATAGACTAGACTATAGACTAGACTATAGACTAGACTATAGACTAGACTATAGACTAGACTATAGACTAGACTATAGACTAGACTATAGACTAGACTATAGACTAGACTAGACTATAGACTAGACTATAGACTAGACTATAGACTAGACTATAGACTAGACTATAGACTAGACTATAGACTAGACTATAGACTAGACTATAGACTAGACTATAGACTAGACTATAGACTAGACTATAGACTAGACTATAGACTAGACTATAGACTAGACTATAGACTAGACTATAGACTAGACTATAGACTAGACTATAGACTAGACTATAGACTAGACTATAGACTAGACTATAGACTAGACTATAGACTAGACTATAGACTAGACTATAGACTAGACTGTAGACTAGACTATAGACAAGACAATAGACTAGACTAGAGACTAGAATATAGACTAGAATATAGACTAGACTATAGACTAGACTATAGACTAGACTATAGACTAGACTATAGACTAGACTATAGACTAGACTATAGACTAGACTATAGACTAGACTATAGACTAGACTATAGACTAGACTATAGACTAGACTGTAGACTAGACTATAGATTAGACTATAAACTAGACTATAGACTAAACTCTACTATAGACCAGACTAGACTGACTAGACTATTGACTAAACTATAGACTAGACTATAGACTAGACTATAGACTAGACTATAAACTAGACTATAGACTAGACTATAGACTAGACTATAGACTAGACTATAAACTAGACTATAGACTAGACTATAGACTAGACTATAGACTAGACTATATACTGGACTATAGACTAGACTACAGACTATATCATAGACTAGACTATAGACTAGATTATAGACTATACAATAGACTAGACAGTAGACTTGACAATAGACTAGACTATAGACTAGACTATCGACTAGACTATTGACCAGACTACTGACTATACTATATATGTACTAGACTATTATTAGTTATAATATAAACTAAACTACTGTCCCCAATATAGATTATAGTCCAGACTATGTTCTAGTTTCAATAAGAGATTACAATACAGACTTTAGATTATATAGATCTTTCAATAGTAAAAAAATACAATGTTTTTATGAATATCATGACCTTTGACCAAAAGTGTTTGAAATTGAATAATTGTTGTTAGTTCCCTTAATGTTTAAACATCCTCATTTGAACTTTGAATTAAATTTACCCAAACTCCAACTTGTAAACAAAAACCAAAGATTTAACACTTAACTACTAATTACATTTTATTATCCCTTACTTAAGTTGTACGTAAATCTTGAGTCTGCAATATTTTTTACTTATTATCCATTTCTCTTTTGCAGCAATTGATTCTAATCAAGAACTTACGATTGAATTACATCACTTCCTTGCTTGGCTACAACATGAACCACAAAGTTTAGTGTGGCTACCAGTATTACATCGTTTGGCAGCTGCTGAGGCAGCTAAACATCAGGTAAGTAGTGAAAGCCAAGAAAATGAAAAAAAAAAAGAACAAATTAAACTGGCACACAACTGCTAATAATTTGTGTCTCGTCTCACTGTTAACTTGGCACTTAATTAACACTTTTTTTCTAAAAACCATTTTAAATACAATTGTTTATGTATTTAACAGGCGAAGTGTAACATTTGCAAAGAGTATCCCATTGTTGGCTTCCGTTATCGCTGCCTTAAGTGTTTCAATTTCGACATGTGCCAAAAGTGTTTCTTCTTTGGACGTAATGCCAAAAATCATAAACTTAGTCATCCCATGCATGAATACTGTACAACGGTAAGTGTTTTTTTCCAATAAAAAACAAATAAGGTGACCAGTTTCTTATATAATTTAAAAATGTTTAATCTTCTAGACCACTTCCACTGAAGATGTTAGAGACTTTACGCGTGCCTTGAAGAACAAATTCAAATCACGCAAATATTTCAAAAAACATCCACGTGTGGGCTATTTACCCGTACAAAGTGTTTTAGAGGGTGATGCCTTAGAATCACCTGCACCCAGTCCCCAACATACTACACATACTCTGCAAAATGATATGCACTCAAGACTGGAAATGTATGCTACACGTTTGGCTCAAGTGGAATATGGTGGTGGCACTGGTTCCAACTCTACTCCCGATAGTGATGATGAACATCAACTGATAGCTCAATATTGTATGGCTTTGCCTACAAATAATGGTGCTGCTCCCAAATCTCCCGTGCAAGTAATGGCTGCCATGGATGCCGAACAACGCGAGGAACTGGAAGCCATTATTCGGGATTTAGAAGAAGAAAATTCTAGTTTACAGGCCGAATATCAACAATTATTAACGAAACAGAGTACAACACCCGATGAGAGCAGTGGTATGCAACATTCCAATTCATCTGTGGGTGGTTTAGCGCAGGGTGCCAATGCTCAGGGAGAACATGGTCAAGTAAGTTTTTTTTTACAATATCCCTTTAAAATAAAATTTAACGGAAAATTTTCCCTTTAAGGACATGATGGCCGAGGCTAAATTGCTGAGACAACACAAAGGCCGTTTAGAGTCACGCATGCAAATCCTAGAGGATCATAATCGTCAATTGGAGGCTCAATTACAACGTTTACGCCAATTGCTTAATGATCCTAATAATGGTGCTACCCCCGGTTCGGCTTTAAATTCAAAACCGAATACTTTACAAACCCGTTCAGTGACTGCTTCACAACTTAATACCGATTCGCCGGCTAAAATGAATCAACAAAATGGCCATTATGACCAGAACTCGAGTGAGTATACAAATTTTAGAATAATGGATTAAAATTGTTAGCCCATGATGGATTTAGTAGCAAGAGTAGACTAGTCTATAGATTATAGACTACACTAGACTATAGTCTAGACTATAAAACAGTCCAGACTATAGACTAGACTACAGTCCAGACTATGGAGTAGACTATAGTCCAGACTCTAGCTAGAAAATAGTCTTGACTATAGATTGATCTATAGTCCAGACTGTAGACTAGACTATAGAATAGGCTGTAGTGCAGACTATAGAATAGGCTGTAGTCCAGACTAAGGACTACACTATAGTCCAGGACATATTATAGACTAGACTATAGTCCTGACTATAGACTAGACTATAGTCCAGAGTATAGACTAGGCTGTAGTCCAGACTAAACACTAGACTGAAGTCCAGACTAAGGACTGCACTATAGACCAGGACATAGACTAGAATAAGTTCAGACTTTAGACTAAACTATAATCCAGACTATAGACTAGACTATAGTCCAGACTTTAGACTAGACTATAAACCTGACAATATATTAGACTATTGTCCAGACATAGACTAGACTATAGTCCATACTATAGACTAGAGTGTAGAACAGACTATAGACTAGAGTGTAGTCCAGACAATAGACTAGACTATAGTCCAGACTATAAACTAGACTATACTCCAGACTATAGACTATACTATAGTGCAGACTATAGTCCAGACTATAGACTAGACTATAGTCCAGACTATAGATTAGACTATAGTCCAGACTATAGATTAGACTATAGTCCAGACTATAGACTAGACTATAGTGCAGACTATAGACTAGACAATAGTCCAGACTATAGACTAGACTATAGTCCAGACTATAAACTAAACTAGAGAGGAGACAATAGACTAGACTATTGTCCAGATATAGACTAGACTATAAATCTGACAATAGATTAGACTATTGTCCAGACATAGACTAGACTATTGTCCAGACATAGACTAGACTATTGTCCAGACATAGACTAGACTATTGTCCATACACTATACTAGAGTGTAGTCCAGACTATAGACTAGACTATAGTCCAGACTATAAACTAAACTAGAGAGGAGACAATAGACTAGACTATTGTCCAGATATAGACTAGACTATAAATCTGACAATAGATTAGACTATTGTCCAGACATAGACTAGACTATTGTCCAGACATAGACTAGACTATTGTCCATACTATATACTAGAGTGTAGTCCAGACTATAGACTAGACTATAGTCCAGACTATAAACTAAACTAGAGAGGAGACAATAGACTAGACTATTGTCCAGATATAGACTAGACTATTGCCCAGACATAGACTAGACTATAGCCCATACTATAGACTAGAGTGTAGTCCAGACTATAGGCTAGATTATAGTCCAGACTAGAAAACAAAAAAGACTGGCTTACGGTTCTGACTATAGACTATGTTATAGTCCAGAATAATGGAAAATTTTTAATGTAACTCTTGCTACTGGATCTACTCCTAAAACGAAGAAAATGCACAGAGGTCAACTATTATTATTGTTGGAATTTTTCTTTACTTTTATTCCAAAAAAAAAAAAAACAAACTTCGTTTATATTGAATCCAAAACATTGGCAGTTATCATTGAATTGGAATTTTGTAAAATTGTTCGTAATATAAATCAATTAATGAATCCATAAAACCACTTGGATATCAAAAGTGTTAAAAAAAGTGTGTGTTAGATTGTATGTTGATGTGTCATGTTGTCATTTCCATCAAACATCCATATTTGTTTAAAATCGTATGTATTTTTTTCCAACATTTTTAAAAAATCAAAAATTTTAGTTTTTTTAAGTTATAAAAAAGATTTTAAATCAAATTTAAAAAAAAAATTAATATATATATAGATTTGCTCCAAAAGTTCTCAAGACCTTGATCAAGTACAAATAATATAATGATTTAAAAACTTTAGGAAATAGTAAATTTTGTTTCAAGAACATTTTTTTGCTCAGCTAGTGTAAAGAAAGCTTGAATAAATTCACTTTTTTTAAATTAATTCAAAAGTTTTTTTTTACATTTTAATTAAGAAAAAAGCTTTTTATATCAAAATCGCTAAAAAATCTCAGTTTTTTCGAAAATATTATTTTTATTTCAAATATATAAAAAAAATCGCTTATTAAAAAAACAACAATTTTGTGTTGTATTTCTCCTTTTTTGTATTCTATCTTCCACCTACTATTTGTAATTTTAATTGCAAACATGTGTATTTTACATCAACGTTCAACTCCTTCGTCCTTATTTATCATATCCACCACCACCACCAAACCACATCATTAAAACTAAAACAAAAAAAACATCATTCATTTAAATGAAAAACCCCAAAAAAAACAACAACAACCATAAATGCCCCTCCAAAAGTGGGTCTAATGTTGCCCGGTATGAATGATCATCATGCGGCTGCTGCAGCAGCAGCTGTTGGCGCCGGCGGCGGTGTTTTAGGAAAGCATCATTTAATGGGTAATGCCGGTAATCCTGCAGCTAATTTACATAGTTTGCAACAGCAGCAGCATCAGCAACAACAACAACATCAACGTAATATATTAAGTGGCAATGGTGGCATGGATATGCAAACGGCAACCGGAAATCCTGGAGGTTTAATGAGTGCATATTTAACGGATGATGGTAGGCCACCACCACCACCTCACAACAGCATGATGTTGCAACAACATAATCAAAGTGGTAGGAATATGATTGCAATGCAATGAATGAACGAATTAATGGTTTTTGAGACAATAAAATTTTGGTTTTATTTTTCTCTTGTTTTCGTTTCGTTTCTTTTGTTTTAAAGAGTTTTTTCTTCTGTTTTGAAATGAATTTTTAAGCTTTTGTTTTAAGAAAATTTTGTTGTAAAAAAAGCGTTGATAATGGTTCGGAAAAAACGAATTATTGGCAACAAATCTCGGTATTTATAATTTTGAATAATATACTGACAATGATAACTAGATTAACTAGATTACAGACTAGTTTATAGACTAGACTGTAGAATATACTATAGACTAGACTATAGACTAGACTATAGACTAGACTATAGACTAGACTATAGACTAGACTATAGACTAGACTATAGACTAGACTGTAGACTAGACTAGACTAGACTAGACTATAGACTAGACTATAGACTAGACTATAGACTAGACTATAGACTAGACTATAGACTAGACTATAGACTAGACTATAGACTAGACTATAGACTAGACTATAGACTAGACTATAGACTAGACTATAGACTAGACTATAGACTAGACTATAGACTAGACTATAGACTAGACTAGACTATAGACTAGACTATAGACTAGACTATAGACTAGACTATAGACTAGACTATAGACTAGACTATAGACTAGACTATAGACTAGACTAGAGACTAGACTATAGACTATAGACTAGACTATAGACTAGACTATAGACTAGACTATAGACTAGACTAGACTAGACTAGACTAGACTAGACTATAGACTAGACTAGACTATAGACTAGACTGTAGACTAGACTATAGACTAGACTATAGACTAGACTGTAGACTAGACTATAGACTAGACTATAGACTAGACTATAGACTAGACTATAGACTAGACTATAGACTAGACTATAGACTAGACATAGACTAGACTATAGACTAGACTATAGACTAGACTATAGACTAGACTATAGACTAGACTATAGACTAGACTATAGACTAGACTATAGACTAGACTATAGACTAGACTATAGACTAGACTAGACTAGACTAGACTAGACTATAGACTAGACTATAGACTAGACTATAGACTAGACTATAGACTAGACTATAGACTAGACTAAGACTAGACTATAGACTAGACTATAGACTAGACTATAGACTAGACTATAGACTAGACTATAGACTAGACTATAGACTAGACTATAGACTAGACTATAGACTAGACTATAGACTAGACTAGACTAGACTATAGACTAGACTATAGACTAGACTATAGACTAGACTATAGACTAGACTATAGACTAGACTATAGACTAGACTATAGACTAGACTATAGACTAGACTATAGACTAGACTATAGACTAGACTATAGACTAGACTATAGACTAGACTATAGACTAGACTATAGACTAGACTATAGACTAGACTATAGACTAGACTATAGACTAGACTATAGACTAGACTATAGACTAGACTATAGACTTTAGACTAGACTATAGACTAGACTATAGACTAGACTATAGACTAGACTATAGACTAGACTATAGGCTAGACTATAGACTAGACTACAGACTAGACTATAGACTAGACTATAGACTAGACTATAGACTAGACTATAGACTAGACTATAGACTAGACTATAGACTAGACTATAGACTAGACTATAGACTAGACTATAGACTAGACTATAGACTAGACTATAGACTAGACTATAGACTAGACTATAGACTAGACTATAGACTAGACTATAGACTAGACTATAGACTACACTATAGACTAGACTAGAGACTAGACTAGAGACTAGACTATAGACTAGACTATAGACTAGACTATAGACTAGACTATAGACTAGACTATAGACTAGACTATAGACTAGACTATAGACTAGACTATAGACTAGACTATAGACTAGACTATAGACTAGACTATAGACTAGACTATAGACTAGACTATAGACTAGACTATAGACTAGACTATAGACTAGACTATAGACTAGACTATAAACTAGACTATAGACTAGACTATAGACTAGACTATAGACTAGACTATAGACTAGACTATAGACTAGACTATAGACTAGACTATAGACTAGACTATAGACTAGACTATAGACTAGACTATAGACTAGACTATAGACTAGACTATAGACTAGACTATAGACTAGACTATAGACTAGACTATAGCCTAGACTATAGACTAGACTATAGACTAGACTATAGACTAGACTATAGACTAGACTATAGACTAGACTATAGACTTTAGACTAGACTATAGACTAGACTATAGACTAGACTATAGACTACACTATAGACTAGACTATAGACTAGACTGTAGACTAGACTATAGACTAGACTATAGACTAGACTATAGACTAGACTATAGACTAGACTATAGACTAGACTATAGACTAGACTATAGACTACACTATAGACTAGACTAGAGACTAGACTAGAGACTAGACTATAGACTAGACTATAGACTAGACTAGAGACTAAACTATATACTTTATTTATAGTTCAGACCATAGTCCAAACTGTTGTGGACTAGACTATGCTGTTGTAAAGAATATAGACTAAACTGTTATATAGAATATAGACTAGAATATAGTCCTGTCTATATACTATAGATCAGACTCCAATTCAGTTAATAGATCAGATTATTATACTATTGTCTTGATTCTAGACTATAGTGCAAACTATAGACAAGACTATATACATATCAGCTCATAATCTATACTAAAGGCCTTAAAGTAAACTACAGTTTAGATTAGAGAAGAGAATATAGGCCGGACAATTGATCAACCCCTATTATATACTAGACTACGAATTAGATTACTAAACTTTAATCCAACTTGTAGACTAGTATATATGTCAGACTACAGACTAAGATATTGACTAGTAGTGCAATTAGAAATTACACTCTAATGGCATTGAATTGGGAATTGTTTACTTGTTAGTTAACCTGGAATAAGTAAAGTAATCAATGGTTCTATTGTTGCTGTACAAAAGATCAGTTAAGTAATTAGACACTTGGAAGGAGATATTTTGACTTCTAACTCTGACAATTTTAAAAATATATTCATTTTTTATTTAAAAAGTGGCTGCTTTAAGTTTTTTGCAACTTTTGTTAAAATTTTTTAGTGCTAGAATTTTTGAATGTTATTGATTTTGCTAATTTAAAAATATTGCTAAACTAAATTAATAAAAAAAATTTCTTCTTTGTTTTTTCATTTTTTACCATTTACGCTAAAAACTGGATCAAAAAAAATAATTCCATACATTAGATCATAATTAAGAAAACGAAAAATCAGCAAACAAATAAAATAAAGGAAATTTACTTGAATTTTAAATAAAGGGTAACTTGAATTTCAATTATTTACAAAAAATATTGGTGTTGTAAAAAAAGTATTTTTTTGTTATTTTTTAGTATTTTTCTTGGTTTACCAGAAAAATTTAAAGGCATGTTGTTTAATGTTGTTTAAAAGAAAATGTTTTGGCTTTTGTAATGAAATTATTTTATGGTTTTTTAGAAAATTGTATATAAAACTTGTACTAATTTCAAAATTTTCTTTAATTGTTTTAATATAGCGGCCATAGGCAAGGCAATGGAGGAATTGGTAACAGTTATAACGGAACAAGAAATCGAGCAAACTTTAGAACAAGATCTAGAGGAGGAAGAGGAGAATCAGATAGAGCAAGAACAAACAGCAAATGAAACCACAACTTCTATAAACACAAATAAAGCGATAAAAACACCCAATGCCACATCGACACCATATGGTTATAATAAATAAATAAATGTTTTTTCTTTAAGAAAAAGAAAAAAATCTTTCTTTGAAACAAAAACCAAGTTCCGATTAACACCGATACATCTTTCAAAATATTAGAAAAAAACGAGAACGAAATATAATTTTTTAACTAAAAACAGAAAAAATTCAAAAATATCAATCAATAATTATAAATTGAGATAAAAAAAGTACTTGTATTTGTATTTTATATTAAAAACAAAAGAAAACCTAAAAACATAATCAATATTTGTTGTATAAAAAAAGAAACTGAAAATTGTGTAATAATTCTTAAACAAAAATCTAAAAAAAAACAGAAATTAAAAAAAACAAAACAAGTTTGCAATATTTATGAAATAAGCAATTTTGAAAAATATGAAAAATAAAATATCTTAAATTAAAAAAAAAAATTAAATATAAAACAAAAAATATCATTAACATTTACACACAAATAAACTTTTTTTTAATTTTTAACTTTAATACATATAAATATGTTAAACAATTTAAATCAACAAAATAAGAATTGAATTCTAATTTTAGTTCTTAAGTCTTAAGTTTTTTTAACAAAATATTATTTTATCCTCTCTTTCCTCTACTCCACATTTTTAAATATTATTTTATTGTTTTTCTTCTTTATTCTTTATATTTGTATATCTTTAAAATTTATAAACAAAAAACACACAAATTGTAGTTGTAATTTTTTTCTTTAAAATAAAAAAAAAAACATATTATTTTTTATTAAATTTTAAGTTTTAAATAAAGTTTTTAATTTAATTTTACCAGAAAAAAAACTTGATTGATTTTTATTTATATTTTTAATTTCGATTTTTAAAGCCTTCAAAATATAAATCCACACCATAGACTAGTCCATAATAGTGCAGACCACAGACTACAACAGTTCAGATTATAAAAGTATAGCCTATTGACAGGATTACTGACTAGACAATAATATGAAATATAGACTAGACCATAGTCTAGAATATAGAAAATGCAGCTCATACTATATATCTATATTCTAGACTATAGTCTCTACTACTAACCAGACTATAGAAATTATTACAGACTATTCAATAAACTAGGTTAGACTATAGTCTATACTATAGACTAGACTATAGTCTATACTATAGACTATACTATACTCTAGACTATAGCCTAGACTATAACTATACTATAGACTAGACAATAGACTAGACTAAAGACTAGACTATAGACTAAACTATAGACTAGGCTATAGACTAGACTATAGACTAGACTATAGACTAGACTATAGACTAGACTATAGACTACACTATAGGCCTAGACTATAGACTAAACTATAGACTAGACTAGACTAACTATAGACTAGACTATAGACTAGACTATAGACTAGACTATAGACTAGACTATAGACTAGACTATAGACTAGACTATAGACTAGACTATAGACTAGACTATAGACTAGACTATAGACTAGACTATAGACTAGACTATAGACTAGACTATAGACTAGACTATAGACTAGACTATAGACTAGACTATAGACTAGACTATAGACTAGACTATAGACTAGACTATAGACTAGACTATAGACTAGACTATAGACTAGACTATAGACTAGACTATAGACTAGACTATAGACTAGACTATAGACTAGACTATAGACTAGGCTATAGACTAGACTATAGACTAGACTATAGACTAGACTATAGACTAGACTATAGACTATAGACTAGACTATAGACTAGACTATAGACTAGACTATAGACTAGACTATAGACTAGACTATAGACTAGACTATAGACTAGACTATAGACTAGACTATAGACTAGACTATAGACTAGACTATAACTAGACTATAGACTAGACTATAGACTAGACTATAGACTAGACTAGACTAGACTATAGACTAGACTATAGACTAGACTATAGACTAGACTAAAGACTTAACCATAGACTAGACTACAAACCAGGCCAGACTATAGGCCAAACTATAGGCTAGACTATAGACCAGACTATAGGCTAGACTATAGACTGTACTATAGACTAGGCTATAGACTTTACTATAGACTAGACTATAGACCAGACTAAAGACTAGAATATAGACTAGATTATAGACTAGACTATAGACTAGACTATAGACTAGACTATAGGCTAGACTATAGACTAGACTATAGAGAAGACTATAGACTAGACTATAGACAAGACTATAGACTAGACTGTTGACTAGACTATAGACTCGACTATAGACTCGTCTATAGACTAGACTATATACTATACTATAGACTGGAATATAGACTAGACTGAATTCAGATCAAAATTCATAGAAAAGATTTAATTTTTTCCGATTTTTATTTTTTGCATCGAAATAATTTAATTTAAAGAAAAGTTTAATTATTATTTTAAAACATTTTTCTAAAATTTTAAACATATTCAATTATTTTCCTAACCATATCACAAACCTAAACCTAATCTAACCTAAAACCAAACCTACTATATAAAATTTAATTTTCAAACCTACAAGAAAAAAAATCCTATAATAAAACTAAAACAAAAAGAAAATATATTAATTTCAAAGAAAGTAACAAAAATTAAAAAAAAAAATAAAAAAACTCAAATCAATACGCTGACGAAAACGATCATTAAATGGACCACCTTTTTCTACTTACAAAAAAAAACAATTAAATTAAATAAATCTACTATAGAAACTAATTTAAAACAATTTTTTTCTTAAACAAATTATAAATAATATTAAATAATACAGCATACAAATAATAATAAAATAACAACAATAAAAAGAAAATCTTTTTCAAATCTTTAATAATAGTAATTAACACAAACACATACATAAATAGTAATCATATCAAAGTTATTCCAAAATTTAATAAATGCAAAAATAACTCAAAAATATTTATAACCTAAAAATAAATGAATAATTAATTGCTCATTGATAAAAAATATTAAATGAATAATAACTTCAAATTATATATCCTGTCTAAAATATTACCACAAAATTTAAAAAGTATTAAAAATACAAATTTTATAGTTGTCTACTTATTAGATACAAAAACAACAAATAATAAAAAACAACATCTATCTGCTTGAGATTAATAGGTTTGATTCAAGGGTCCTTAATACTTAGAAATAAATATCGAATTAGAAGTTTTCATTCAAACTACAATTCCAAATTTTTCAATAAAAAATCTGTTTTGAAAATTCGAATAAGAAATGTTTCGAAATTTTTTCAGTTCTAGTTATAGTTTAGTTCTAGTTCGGTTCTAGTTCAGTTCTAGTTCAGTTCTAGTTCAGTTCTAGTTCAGTTCTAGTTCAGTTCTAGTTCAGTTCTAGTTCAGTTCTAGAAGTTCAGTTCTAGTTCAGTTCTAGTTCAGTTCTAGTTCAGTTCAGTTCTAGTTCAGTTCTAGTTCAGTTCTAGTTCAGTTCTAGTTCAGTTCTAGTTCAGTTCTAGTTCAGTTCTAGTTCAGTTCTAGTTCAGTTCTAGTTTAGTTCTAGTTCAGTTCTAGTTCAGTTCTAGTTCAGTTCTAGTTCAGTTCTAGTTCAGTTCTAGTTCAGTTCTAGTTCAGTTCTAGTTCAGTTCTAGTTCAGTTCTAGTTCAGTTCTAGTTCAGTTCTAGTTCAGTTCTAGTTCAGTTCTAGTTCAGTTCTAGTTCAGTTCTAGTTCAGTTCTAGTTTAGTTCTAGTTTAGTTCTAGTTCAGTTCTAGTTCAGTTCTAGTTCAGTTCTAGTTCAGTTCAGTTCTAGTTCTAGTTCAGTTCTAGTTCAGTTCTAGTTCAATTCTAGTTCAATTCTAGTTCAGTTCTAGTTCAGTTCTAGTTCAGTTTTGTCTTAATTTCAACAAACATAAATTTGTAACAGTCTGGCCACCCTGATTCTATCAAAGTTTTCAGTGAGAGAACAACAGCGAATGAATGAAAACAAAGAGAGCTGGAAATTGCTGATCTTTTATTAAGAGCATAAACAACAGGACAAAATCAAACATGTTGATAAAAACAAACAAAACCAAACATGAAAACCTATTGATCTGGCACAAGAATCATAAAAAAGCAAAATTAAAGAAAACTAATTAAATGTTTTATTACAAAAAATATCCCCATAAAATAAAATTAATAAAAATATTAAAACTAAACATGGTGACAATATAATAATAAATTTTTTTAGATAAATTAAAACACAAATTTAAATAAAATGCATTGAAAAATTAGATAAAAACGAATTTAAACCGAGAAAAAATAAGACAAAATATTGAAAAATTTAAAAAACATATTTGGAATGTTTCAACAATTACCAATAATAATTACATATTTATATAGAACTTATATAGAATAAACATATCTAAAATAAATATTTAAACTAAAAACAATTAAATGATATCATTTATAGAAAAATTTTTACAAATTTTTTCAAAAGCTTAATTTTTTTATTATTATTTGATTTAAAGACAACAAAATTAAAATGATATTCCTTATTTAACTGCCAACTGAAAACAAGAAATTTATTCAAAATAATTGCCATAATATGGAACTTAAAACATATCCCCCAAATGAAAAAAAGAACAAAATAGTCTTCTTACAACGATTTTTTTAAAAGAAAATTTAAAAAATATTAAAATTAAATTTAAAGAAAATAAATATAATAAATTTTAATACACTTACCTTAATTGTTAAATGTAGCTAAAGCAAAATTAAAATATTGATAACAAATTTATAGGACATAGCACACTTTTAACACTAATGAAGGATGTTTTAAATGGTTTTAGAGAATTTAATTTGGGTTAAAATAAAAGGGGGCTTTTTGTTTCGACAAATTTTCCAATCATTTTCAAAATTTTTTATTTGACTCTTTTTTAAGCAAATTGCACATTAGCCCCTTTTTTAACTAAACACTTTTTTATTAAAAAAAAATTTCGCACTTTATAAGAAAAATATCGGTTTCAAAATTATTGTAAATTTTTTTTCAAGAATTTTTCCACATTTTCATTAAATATTGGCTGAGTATTAAAACACAACAATAAATCACTTTTTTATTTTATTAAAAAACAAACAACCACGCA